TCTCATCAAAATACAGTGGAAGAACATATCACCACAATGTTATGAAATTTTGCTTTCGCTGTAATGTAAATGTATTGTATGGAATTAATGGATCTATGGCTTCTTTTTATAAAATGAAATTATACCTGAATTCAACTTTACACATAAAGCACCTACAACTATTACAACTACAGATCACAAAACCTCAGTGTACCTTGAATTTTTCTGTAAATTTGTAAAATTTTTCAGTTACTCTGCCAGAAATTTCTTTCGCCGTACTTTTTGTGAAAATTTATCGTTCAAAATTGCATTTAATTTCTGTAACATCAAAATTCACTATTGCAAAGTGAGAAAAAGTACAATTAATTTTCGTATAAGGTATTTACTAATTTAAACATTTCGATTGCAGTTCTACCTTATTGAGTACGATCATAACTGCACCATCGCATCAATCAGCATTCGTTCGTCTGGTCGCACAAATGAAGACTCTGGTCAATATACATCAAACACCGTGTGAAAAACCACACAAATCTGCTAAAAAGAAGGATCAGTATAAGTCCCGGCATACGGTACGTCGTGGCCGTACAAATGCGGCGCTAGCTTTGAAAATGCAACAGTTACGAAAATCACCAATCAGTTTGCCATTGACGCAACTTTTACTACGCAGTCGCAAACCGTCATTTGTGCAAGTAAATAAACTAAACTTGCCCACTGAACTGATTATGAAGAAAAGTCGAACAGCCATCGCAAAAGCTAATCCCATAACTACCAGCAAGTCAACCAATGCAGTTCAAGACAAAAAAAGAACGGCCGCTCTTTCCGTACAAGTTGATACCAAGAAAGGCAAGCGTAATACCTCCAAATCAAATGTAATCAACATTGTAGCGTTTGCTCAGGACAAAAACGCTACACAAAATGTCAAAAGGAATCTTCAAACAAGCAAAAGTAAAGTTGCTACTAATGTTGATGAAAGCCCTGCTCCAGAGACAAAATACCAGCAACGTAAACGGAAACATGTTGATGAACTATGTGCGGCAAATGAGGTTGTTGGCTCGGAATTACACGAGTTGAGAAAAACTAGTTCGACCGAGGCAAGCATTATACCACCATTGCGCAAAAGTGCTAGACTTTCAAAAGATGGCAACAACGAGCTTTTGACAATAGGCACTGTTAAACGTATTACGCTTAGAAAACGTAATACACGTTATACGCAGCAGCGTTCAGTCGATACCTTTTCGCCGCCAATGACACGTTCACGTCGGAAAGAACTGATGCAAATGCTGGACGGCAACTCACAGGTTATTGTCTAAGTCATGTAAAATGGCCGCATATTTAAAAACCAACAAGAATATGGAATATTTTTTGTGGCTATTGTGCATTGTATATGATTATACTACTACTGTGTTAAGGACAGGAAATATGAGTGCAACCTAAGCAGCGCGTTAAAGAAGCAAGATCGCAAGGTATGCCAGTATTGAGAGCTATTGCTTTTTCATGCGTCTAAATTGTATTGTATTCAAATGATTGATTTCTTTTTCTCCTTTTTAAACGTGACATAAAATGTTTTTTTACTTAAACTGTAAATTGCACAGTTAGCTCACTGATTCCTACTGGCTCATTGTGATAGTGGATAAGCACTATAATCTACTACCATTTGTAGTAAGAATTTATGCACTACTATTTTTATTTTATCTGTAATAAATCATAAATGAATCACTTTAGTCTTATTTTTGATACAAATCAATTGTAGGTGTGAGGCCTAATATGTATGTATGTATCTTATATGGTGGGATGTAGAATGTATAGTAATTATAGTTGTAATTTTTACACAAAATATAATTTTTTTTTTACTTTTGCTCAAAAAATTAAACTAACGAATTTGGTGAAAATTCAAAAAAAAAAAAAAAATGTATGATGCATTGTGTGATTTTCCACTTTGTTTTCAATTGTTTCTCAAATGCCTATGTATTTTGTTTCAAATAGTTTGATACCAGTGAAAAAAAATCGTCTGCTTTCTATCTTAATAAAAGATTGCGCATTTTCTTTTATGCCTTTGCTAATATTATTTTTTAACTTTCAGATACAATTTTTATAAACATACATATTATATATAGGGGTTTCGTACAGTCTCATAAAGTTAAATGTTTTAACGAACCCAAAACATGGCGTTGAGAATTGTAATTGCCCAAAATCATTTTTATATGTTATTCAACAACAATTTTTTTTAAACAAATTTAAAAATTTATCATTTAATGATTTTACGATGCGTTAATATTTTATTTATTATTGACAAGAAAAAACTATAAAACTTGCTTCCAAAATAGAAATCAATTGTAATTCTCAAAAAAAAATAATAATTTAAATTTTTTTTTTTTGCATTATTAATTGTCAATCAACAAAGTATGTGAAAAAGTTTAGAATCTCATAATATATACATACATATATTTTTTAAGTGAACAAAGAATTGGGAAAATTTTCTCACAATTGATTTAGCTTAATAGAACATCAAATGCAGCATTCTATAATTATAAAGAAGAAACTTAACAAATTATTTAAATTTCTATGTAAATGTGCAACAAGACCTATATCATCCATAATAATTGAAGAAAAAATACTCAAATTTGATTCAGTTTATTCATAAACTTTCTTTAATTTATATAAAGATCGTAATATATGTATCACATATTTCAAAACTAACACCAATTGTAATACTTGAAAATATAAAAGCTTCTATGTGCTTTTGTGTTCGCGTTTGCTATTACTTATGCGTCCTATTCACTCAGCCTATTCATATTTGTACGTTCTTCATTATTGTATTGATTTATGTTTGTATGACTTAGTTATTATGTAATCGAATGCTGTTTGATGGGGAGTGCACTCAACAAATAAGTATTATAAACAATAACCAATTAAAACATTTAATAATATTAAGATTTGAAGAAAGAATAATAAACTGCCAATGTGCAGATCATCACCCCAGATGTAATATTGTGTAATGTTTCTTAAAAACTACAAAAATTAAGTTATGTATATCAAATATATGTATGTTTATTAGAATGTCCGTTATTTCCAAGTTGATCTGAATGATTTTTTCTTTTCTAAAAACATTCCTTTAAAATTTTTATAGAGTTAACGTTATGCATCAAATGTACTATACTCATATAGAGCACCGTGTCACCCAGAATGTATCAATCAAAGTGTATTTAACAAAGTGAATTAAGTATATGACTTTAATTTAATTTAAATAAAAAACAAATACTTGAAATGTTTACTATTTTCTTGTCAAATAAGCATAAGTCAAATTCTTATTTTACGTTGTTGAACACACAATTTTACGAAAACTCGGTACATTTGATGTATAACTTGTAAGCGAATTATTTTTTGTGAGCGCACATTTTTCTACTAAACTATCCTTTTTGTCAAAGTTGTAGATTGCTTAATGCAAATTTTAAAAAATTTCATGTTACAAGAAATATGATTTAGGCAAGCTTTAAATTTGAAATAAAGAGATTGTTGGCAGTAAATCGTTTCTTTTTAGGCAAAACCGGCATCTTTAGGGAAAGCGGGCAAAAAATAATAAGCAATCAACTTGTGAATTAACGGACACCCTAATGTTTATAGTTATATATAAACAGACCTCATTTAGTTATAACCATTTTGCCACATTTACATGCTCTGCTATAGTTGAAAAGCAGCCATTAGGTAAAAGTCCACTTTTATTTTGTCTGAAATTAACAACTTAGTTTTTTATTATTATATATGTCTGTGTAGCAACAATAATGTTTGACGTTTAATTTCTTAAAAATAAAATACGTATTACTGTAGTACATATGTTTAAATTAATTAATTTAAATAGTGGCGTTCATGCGTTGTTTTAAGTGTAGTAGTTGGTGTGAACGTCTATTTAAACATTCAAAAGAAAATTTAACACTTTATTACACACAAAAGCAAACCAATGAAACGCTTGTAATACTACATAAGAACAAAAATGAATGCAGAAACATGTGTGTTGTGATATTTAAACTTTTTATTGCAAACATGCTGACTTACGCTAACATTCGAATAAGGAGAATCTTTATAAGGCGTGCGAAATTGTCGGAACAATCCATTTCTAAACATATGAAACTATATATGAAAAGTGTTCTGATTAATTGGAGAATACAAGGTGCGGAGAGAACAAGTCAGTAGAATGAAACAAGAATAAAATATGTATGACATGTAATTTGAAGATTAACAAAAAATAAAATAAAACTTAGCGTAACGTATTACAGACATACATAATGTATTTAGCAACTACAATAACAAATATGAAGAAATATTACAGAAATTGTAAACAAAATACCACAATTACCTATAATTACAATTTGAATTGCAATTACTACGTATAAATTATAAACTTAATAAAATCTATGATAAAAAAATACAGCGTTTTAATTTTTTAGTCTACGCAGCAAACGCTCAAATACATTGTCTGATGCAGGTTTAGGTGCCTACTTCGTTTTCAGTGCATGATAACCAACAATTATGTTTATTCTCCAAAGTCTGACTGATCGACAGCACCAATTTCATTGGGAGACGAAATATATACCTGCTATAAGTACGGTAAATGTTATATACATAACCGTAGTAACTAAAACACATTTTTTAATATGTTTACAATTTTAAGAATTTTTTATTTTTCAATAAAAAATAAATACTATTTAGAATTTTACAGGCTCATTCGTTTTTTTTTTATATTGCGTACTTGTTTGCTATTAATATTATTTCATATATGCCATAATAAAAATTGATTTGTAAAAAATTTAATTTAATTACCTTAAGAATAACATAGCTTGAGCGTACATTTAGCATTATTTAGCACGTACATAGTTACTAGTTGCGTGCACATATCTATGAGTCACATTATAAACATTACTCGTCATTAATTTTAAACTGATTTTGAAGCCACTCGTAAATTTCATATACATTATTGTATGTATACTTACAAATTAAAAAAATTTAAATGGAAATGTCAAACAAATCAAATCAAATTCAAGATGCCGCTCATTTTAAGAAAATTACCAATCGTGGCATATTTAAGAAAAAATCATAGAAAACTTTCACTAATACCTATTTATACTGCAGTTAATAACTGTAAAATAGCATTATCAAACATTTACATTATTATCTGAGGTTCTGGTACACTAGCGGCTATATTTTTATGAGGCAGTACCTGCCCACCGTTTATGTAGATTTCATCCTTCACAATAACATCTTCACCAAGCACGGTTATACCCTCTAAACGCACCCAACGGCCTACAACCGAACGCCAACCTACAATGCAGGAATCCAACCATGAGTGTGACTTAACTATAGCACCTGTGAGAATCGTTGAACGCTTAATACAAACGCCATCTTCAATTACTACATCTGGGCCGATAGTAACATTTGGTCCAATACGACAGCCTTCGCCTATTTTTGCTGTTGGATCCACTAAAACATTTCCCACTACACCGGGTCCGGTATAAAGTTTGGATGATTGCTTTTGCCGTAATGATGTTAAATAAAGGCACATGCCTACAAAATAAAAACATAATCATTATTACGTGATGGATATTAATATGCACCAAAAACGAAATATTTTTATGTGTGCATGTGTGCGCATGTGATAACTTTTAAAATATTATTTACAGGAATTTCCCTTTAGGCACTTTAAAGTGCTCAACGTATTTAATATTTCGGATGGATGTAGATAAATTAAAAAGTATTTGTAGCTTCCTGTATAGCGTTATCATTTGAATGTTCAACTTTTACCGCCTTTAATCATTCAATAGAAATTGCTACTCGTTCAATATCATGTGGTTATGAATGAAATTGATAAGCTTTATTCCCTTCAGAAAGCGCAAAAGAAACATGCTTTCAGACATTAGTAGTAAATTTGTACTTAAAATAAAACAAAAAACACCTTATCTCTTGTATGAGTGCAGAATGCGGTAATGCATACGTGTCACTTGCTTGTGATCTTCTAACCTGTTAGGAAATCCTTAGGTTGTCCTATATCCATCCAAAAACCTGGCAATTCCATTGCATACAGTTGTCCCTCATCAGCCATAACGGGAAAAACTTCCTTTTCAATTGATGTTGGCTTAACTTCTATGCGATCCAGCACAGAGGGATTAAATATATATATACCGGCATTAATTTTGTTGCTTACAAATTCTTGCGGTTTCTCAATGAAATTTTCAATACGACCTTGTTCGTCGTACAGCACCACGCCGTATTTGGACGGCTCTTCGACTTTTGTAACAACGATTGTGCCCTCTTTGCCATGATTTTTGTGGAATTGTTCTAATTGCTTAAATGGGAAATCACAAATCACATCCGAGTTTAGCACATAAAAGGGTTCACTGCTGGAACTGAGAATGTCTTTCGCTAACGCCAGTGGTCCCGCCGTCCCGAGGGGTTCGTTTTCATGTGAAAATATTAAATTAACGCCTAATTTTTCTGCTTCCTGTTTTAATTCCTTTTCCATTTGCTCAGCGCGGTAGGAAACAGCAAGTATAACCTTTATACAGATACATAAATAAGTTGAAAAAAATTACCTACAAACATGAAAATTTATATGTTAGTAATATACCAACCTGCCTGCATCCGGCACTAACTAAAGCTTCAAGCTGATGCAATAAAATGGGTTTATTCGCAAACTCTACCAGTGGTTTTGGTGTACTAAGAGTCAAAGGACGTAGTCGTGTTCCGTAGCCACCAACGAGAATAAGGGCGCGTGTGCCTTTTGTACTTGCCGAATTTGTGCCACACATTTCTATAGAGATTAGAAATTAATGAAAGGTCTTTTAGATACTATTATTGAGTATCGCAATTATTTGTGACACGTCACACTTTTCTCTGTCTTTATTTGATTTCTTCTTGAAACGAATAACGAAATGTAATGCTCCTCTTATAAAACCAGGTCAAAAGATATACTATTTTATTACAAGTTTTTAAACTCACTTTATAAATTGGTAAGACAGTTATCAGATACGCCAAGAACTGATAAGAAATTTTAAAGTTTTCATCAATTCTATTCCACCTTTTTTTGTTTAGTTCACGGCTTTTGTTGTTTGTTTTTCTCCCTTTTCGTATGTAGTGGCCAATAATATCAGGTGACGATCAATACAATTGTGTGGTTTATATGCTATAACATTATAAATTTCACAAACTTATAAATAATTAATTGCAAATGTAAAAATACTTTGTTTTCCGTTAAAATATTACACTTTTTATTTAATAATATCTTGTTTTTTATAGCAGAAAAACAAACTGTGCTACATCTTCACAGGGTTGCATTCAAATATGCTGAAAGAGAAAATCCAAAACAGTTTTCGGTATTCCAAATGTCTTTATAACACTCTTATCACACTATAACAAAGTAAGGTCCATAAACATATTTACTTGCTATTTCACTTAATAATTTTAATGCTTCACAGGAAGAAAAGAGATAATAGAAATAAGAGGTATTTTTTAACTTCATTTCAATTGCATATATTTGCTTTTCATTGCTTTCGCTATTTTATGCAAATTGCACATATTTGATATGCACGGCACACAATGCAACCTTGTGAATCAATTATGTATTATCTCATATATATATCTCTGTTTCGCACATATCATTGCGCAGCCATCTTTACTTATAACATTCTGCAACATTTTTAACACTATTCTTTTCACTTGCACCTACGTTACAGGTGCGCTGACTGTCAACATCAAAATACATCACAATTGCTCTTTCCTTTCTGTCGAAAGACTCGAAGCGAAAAAGTTCGTGACGACGTTTTCAAGCATTTTCGTAAGTAAATTTTCAACATTTTATGAGGAAATCTGGTACATTAAATATATAAAGAATTTGCAAATTTTCCGTAGCTCCTAAATTGAAAGTGCATTACCACCAATAAAAGTAAAAGAGGAGTAAGCCTAACAACAGCAGCAAAATGCCTAAAAATAAGGGAAAAGGAGGTAAAAATCGTCGTCGTGGAAAGAACGAAAATGAATTCGAAAAACGTGAATTGATTTTCAAGGAGGATCAGCAAGAATATGCACAAGTCACCAAAATGCTGGGCAATGGTCGACTTGAGGCAACATGTTTTGACGGAGTGAAACGTTTGTGTCACATTCGGGGGAAACTCAGAAAGAAGGTAGGTTAAGAAGAAAATAGTAGGGGGTTGGGGAGGAACTCTTAAATGTGTGTGCAACAAAAAAAAGTGCTTAAATTAAAAAAAAAAATGTTAATTGTATATTAGTGAAATAACTGAATACATTGATCGTCTAGCACTCGGAGAATGTTTTGCATACAATTCTCATTAAAAGTGATAGTGTATGTGTTTCTTGTTATTTTAACATGTTTACATAATATAAACAGTGAATTTATTTTTATTGTATATGTGCAATATAACAAAGAAAATACATTTATTGAAATGCAATAAGTTCATACTTGCGAACCTCAACCCGTCTTGCAGAAATGCTAAATTTGTTGTGAACTTATTGCGTTGCAATTTCACTTTGAGATTAAGTTTTAAGAACTTAAGAGACATTTATATAGCTACAAAAAGTGCATTAAACGTATATTACCAAAAAATCAATGAAAATAATTAAGTTAATTATTTCTTGTCGTGTACTCATTCGAAACTTCGAATCAGCAGTTTCTCAAGTGAAGCACTTCTATTTTATTTTAACCCTGCAGTTACACGATCGCAAACTTGCTTTCAGAAACTTCTTGTCCTAATTGATTTAAATTGACAGCCGTGATAATCAATCATAGTTTCAATTTAAGAATATAAAGAAATATTCATAATCTATAACTATGTGATCAGCAGTTTTAAATTGATCACCAATTTTCCTCACGACTTGAGTGGAAAATTATCAAGAATGCCTTAAAGTCCCAAAAATTAGGGTAGTAGAAAAGTGTGAGTGTATTGCAATTTCAAATCAATTTTTGATCGTGTTACGTCCGGGTAAGGGGGTAGGGTTAGTTCGTGCAAAAACAGACATATTTTAGTGAAATTTCTTAAAACCGATTGAAAATTAAAATATAACATTCTAGGAAGAGTATGTAAAACTTTTACAAGAAAATAAAAAATATTGCAGTGTCAGAATTTATTCAAACGTGTCGTCAAATCGCTGCCGCAGATTTAAAGTTATGAAGGTTCGACTTGTGGGAAAACGTTTTAAACTAACTTGAAATTTAGACACAAGATTCATGAGATTTTATGCATTAATTTAAGACAACTAATTAAATCCCACCCTCTTCTTAGTACAAGTTAAAAAGACAAGATGTAACTGCAGCTTTGAGATTTCTGAAAGATGAAAAATGAAATTTGCCTTAGTTATACATACATAAATCTGATTGATTTCAGAAAATTTTTCATGCAACAACATGCTAACCTGTCATTTCTAAATACTTACAAATAAAATTCAGGAAACGTTAAGTGCTATATAATATCCTTCATTCCCTTAATTTAATTGGGAGACTACTAATTTATAAGAATTACATAATTATGTAATATTTCGTATTATATAACTGACAAATGAATTCATATTTATTTAAAATATACGGTCGATAAGCTTATATGTTCGCAAGTGCTCTAGTAATTTGATTAAGGTTATTTAATAATTTTATCAAATAAAAATATTTACATTTGTAAAGCAATTGAAATAACTTCATCCTTTATCTAAAAGACTTACAAGTTTAAGTATAATGTATTGGTACATACAACTGTGTTCATGAAAATAGTAGGCCGATAGATTCTAACTATAAAACAAAAAGATTAAATTAAAATTGCAAACTACGAATTCAATAACATTTAAAAGTACATCTATAACCGACTTTGCATGGGTCTATGAGGTCCTGACCTCTTATGGATATTTGAGATCAAACTGCCTTCACCACTAGCCAAAGGTGCGTGTTACTTGATGAATATGCTGCTCCTAAAACTCGTTTTACTCATCCTTATAAACGTTCTCTTTTATAGACACATGGTAAAGAAGCAAAGATTTCCAAATTTCGTATAATCGTCTATACTATAATATTGATTTATTTTAAGGCATTGCATATCATTGCTAATTCGAATCACAGAAGTTTTACCATCATATCAATTACCGCTTCTCAATTCAAAAATTTGTTCCTCTACCCACTAAAAAAGAAAGAGTAAATCACTTAAATATACTTATTTATCACATATGTACATACATATGTATATCTAACAATTTTTTTCATTTATCGACATATGACGACTAGCACTACTGTTTAAATAAACAACCTGTTTTGTCAGAAAATATAAAAATGGGTCATAGAAAAGGCAGGGGAAGCAAATGTTTGAAATGTATATTCTTCCAAAAAGATCAGGTTTGTTAACTTGGCAAGTCAGAATATGTGTATATCAGCTGTGCAGAAATCTTAAAATTTTGTTTGAAGAAGCTATTTATGTAAGTCAAATTTAAATGCTCAAAAAGTGCGCAAATCATAGACATGAATTACACACTTTCGCTCCAGAAGATAAATATAAAAGAAATTTATAACTTTGTAAACAATATATGGTAGGTATAATTCTACGTATGTATAGGGTTTTTCGATAAGAGCGCTACAAACGTTTTTTTTTTTTAATGAAACAAAAATGGTTTGGGATATATATCAATGAAATGATTTATTTCTATGAAAGTACGTTCGATACCATCATGTAGGGAATTTCTTTTCCATGGCCACCATGACGCTGAACCCAATTTTCGAACGTTTTCAAGCATAAATCGGTCGATAGTGCTGCAATTTCATCTTCGATATTCGTACGAAGTTCATCAACCCATAGACTTGACGTAGTCAAATCCCACGTCCAAGGCGGCCAATTGACTGGACCATTTCGTGAGATAACACGTTCACCAAACTTGCTATTCAATAAATCAAATGTGACATTCGATGTGTGGCTTGTGGCGCTGTCCTGTTGGAACCACATATTATCCAAGTTCACATCATCCAATTCGGGCCAAAAATATTTGGTTATAATTAAGAGGTAGCAATTCCCATTCACAGTAACGTGCCGGTTTTGATCATCACCTAAGAAGTGCAAACCGTAATTTTATTGGGATGAAATGGTGACTCATGGAGTACGTACGATTGTACCATCACAGGAATAAAGAATTTCAAAACAGCTTTTGTTTTTTATTAAAAAACCAAATTTCGGTGGTAAATTTTAATAATTTCGACTCGTTGTTGGATCGTTTGCTGTCCCTCTCGGTCTACTTTTGTAGTGCTCTAATGTTCAACAGACAGTATCTTAAAAAAACAAATACAACACGACGTATTGTGTTCATGTGAAAGCTGAGAAACTCGCTTCGCTAAAGGCGTGGGCATAACGGTTTTACTATTAAAAACCTCCTTTGCACGCCATGTGCTATAGATTTTATAAATTATTTAGTTTTATCCATTTCGTCGGTTTAATTGATTACAAAAATTTTTCATACTTTAATGACTAAACAAAATTAGTTAGTCATCGATAGCTACTGTATATGTATATAACTTGGCTCTACTGTTTAGGCTGAGTATATTAAGTTTGTAATGAAGTTTTTAAAATATATAATTATGTCAAAAAGATGGTTATTTGTCGGTATCGCCGTTATATCATATTCATATTCAAACTAATCGATCAAAATCGAGTTCATGTAGGACAAATTGTTTATTTGGCGAGATTTTTTCAAAACTTTCGCATTGATTACTATTAAAGGTAATGATACAATATTCAAGGAATTGAACGATCAAAATCAAAAGAATATTTATGCATCTGTGAATGGATTATTATCGCTTCGGTTCATTCGAAGATAGCGTTTTTCCTTATTTTGAATATGAAATGCTTGTTATGGTATTCTGAAGCATTATCTAGACACACTCTGGCTTTGCCATTAATTGCCCTTTGGTCAATCACGCGATAAGCATTCTCGACTAGCATGAAATGAGTAACACGACGGTGTTGGCGCCACCAATTCGAGATACCTTTATGTAAAATCATGATTTCAATGCATTTTTTACAATAGGAAGGCTTAGTTAGAAATTTCAAATGGTTTCGAGTTATAAAATTTTGGTTTTGATCTTAATAAAAAAAAAACCAATGATTAATGCTAAATAATGTTCTTACATATAATTAGTGTAATTTGTACTGTTTTTCTTTTGGAAATTAAACTTTCTAAATCACTTAATATATTTTAAAATTTAGTTACAAACAAACATAAATAAATATGTATGGCTTGTATATTTGTATCCCTCCCTTTTAAATTTAAATATACTTGTTTGTTTATATGTGTATATTATAAAAATTTTTATTCTTTCTTCATTATATGACTTTTTCGACTATGTTAATATTTTGCAAAATGTTTTCCTTACATAAATAGTTAAATATATTTTATAAATTTATAATTATAATAATTGTTCTATATAATAGATACATTTTACTAATTTCTTTAATACTACATTTCTTATTCTAAATTCATGAGATTTTGTTTTCCTCCAATTCGACGCTCAGCGTCTTCGGTTTTCAGGCCGTTATTGAGTTCACACTTAGCATTCTCCAAATTCTCTCTCCTTAATTATTCGCTGATGCTTATTCGAACTGTGTTACCGTCGTGATAATATCAGTAATCCAATGCGTAAACGCTGAAACACGCACAAATACAGATGGAGAATTCTTCTGGCCACAAGGCATTTTACCCCACGATACTATGCCAATAACTGTGTACCCTTCCTCGAAACCATCACAACAAGGCTGCATCAGAGGGCCACCAGAATCAGCTGTACAGATACTGACTCCTCCATTTAGTGGACCTGTGCATAAATTAGTCTCGTGCAGTTGCAAACCCGATGCAGCTAATATCCGTTCGCATAGTTCCATGTCCAATATGGGCATATCAGCTTCCTGCAAGCGATGTGGATAATTGGGCACCAGTGTCATGGAAATATTACCCCAACCATAAAGTGTACCACTACCCTCTGGCAGCACATCCTGTTCTGGCAAATGTGCCGGTTGCACATGCTCTGTAAATTGTAATGGTCGTTTCGTGTAGATGAGCGCAATGTCATATGGGTTAATGCCTCCAAGATAGAGCTCGTGTCGCACATAATGGTCAATTGTGCGCACCTGCACACAATCGCCTTCTTCGGTGCCGCGTAAATCATGACAGCCGGCAACAATGATGGAGTTCTCCACTGTTTCATCTGAGGTGAGGCAGTGAGCTGCTGTTAGTATCCAGTTCTCGTGAATTATAGTGCCTGCGCAGTAATGTACGAGGCCGTCATCTGGTGTCATCCGTTGTATTGATACGATATAGGGTGCCGAATGTGGCACCGCCTCGCGTTTCGCCAATAGTTTCTGTGTCCACGCCTTGCTGTTGTCCTTTTTACCACATGGATTATCAAAAAGTTCTAATGTTGCCCTTGGACTTATGCCGGCTAGCTGGGCTTTTCTAGCCGGCAACGGTGCATTTGCACTCAAAACCACCATTGTTTGTATGAATATTGTACATAATATTAGACAAATACATTTCCAACAGACTAGCATGGTTTGTTGTTGTAACTCAATACAATTCCACACACAATTCTCCGTTTTTAAGTGGCGTTTACGGATTTTTTTTTTTTTACTTTCAGTTTACGATTTAAATGCGCGCAATTTCACAATTTTCTCTGCGCGACCACAATTTGCGTTTCGTACGATCAGTAGATATATTCCGGTAGCTTGTTTGCTTTGCTTCTTTTCAACTAGTTTTATTCACTTTCGGGTCTGTCAGCGTTTTGTCATCGCGGACGACGAGCTTGTAGGTTTTATAGGTAACTAGTCACATCTGCAGCCGGCAGAGACGCTGCGATATTGATAAGATAACGTTGTCTTGTACGGACATGTGAAAATTTAACGACGTCAGCGCTACCGTAAGCATTTGTGTCGGCAGATGTTGTTAAGCATGTTACCATTAGGACAATGGCAGCGATGCTTGCTTGAAGTTGGTCTACGTCAACTGAGACGTCTGCGTTTGCGCATATGAATGGCCTTTTATCTTATCAATGCGCGCCTCCACTGAGGCTGCTGCTAACTGCTTGCCCACTGATTTCTCATTTATTAACAAATACATTTTAGGCGTTTGCGCATATATAGGTTTTTGTATCATACTATATACGCTATACATCGCCGCTTTGTGAATGAGTGCGAATGTACGGCGCCTATCTTTGCGCTTACTCACCAAATTCCAATGTATTGACATAGCGTACCAAATATAAAGACCCTACATTTTATGAAACGCGTGCGACTTACAATTCTTACAATTTATCATTGTGTTTCCACATCGTAAGTTGTGGCCTCCCACAACCTTCGGCCCCTAATATAGCGTAATTTTGAGATATTTTTCTTTGTGCCACCTTGGGTGCTTCCCCAATACATTTACTGGAAACCTCACGTACATACATATGCATGTACATATATACATTGTTTATTTATCAGCAGACTGTCGCAGACGCGCGTGTATTAGCTAATTTAGAAGGTGCTAATAGTTGAGATACTCTTAATTGGATTTTACAGCAGTTGTGCTCAGCATTTTTGGTTTAAAGGTCTCTTTTATTTAAAGTAAATTATTTGTAAATGTTTTTGTATATACAGTTATCTATTTATAAGTGTTTGATTTATACACCGACTAGCTATTTCATTCACGTTTTTGAGTATTAAGTTGTTTTGCTAGTGTGTCTCAGCAGAACTCTGGATAAGTTTGCCGATAAGTACGATCAAATATTCAAATAACCGCAAGTCCTAAATCTTGATTTTAAATAATAGTCTGTAAAAAATCAAAAAGACCTGCTGTGATGTATTGTTTTCATTTTCACATATTTACTTTAATTCATGTATGTTTATAGTATTTGAATTTTATATTTTGCAAGTCATATTTGAAATAATCTCTTCAGTGGTCGTTGAAAGAGTTTGATGTTAGTTGATTTTATGAAACCGGATTGAACCCGATCTTATATTCGGTCAAGGGTTGTAACGCAATAATTCGGCTAGTAATAGAGGGGGATTATCCTTTGGGTCTGCTGGAAAGAGCTTTGGTGGTGCTCGCTACAGTGAAACCACCACAACAAGACGGCATCAGATGCCATACAGCACCGCCCATGCCGATCGGGAGATGTCAAGTATGACTTGCAGCTTAAACTCCTGCACCACGAAAGTAATGTAATTAATACACTACCACCAAATAGTAGATATGAATTTACAGTTTGTATTTAAATTGTGGAATTATTTTTATAATGAATTTTTCAATCACAACCAATAAATTAAAAATCGTTAACAGCTGGAAAATGCACCGGCAACAGAACAAAAAGATACAAGAAAAAACGTTAACGTAGATTTCGCTGAAGCTATAACACCCTTCGCAAATAAAAAATAAAAAATTACAAAAACTAATATGGGACATATGTAGCATAAATACATATGTCTGTACGTATGTGAAAATATCATTTAGGGTAGTTTTGTAAGGCTTGTGAAATTCGTTTAATGTAATCTCAGAACAAATTCTATGTTGAGTCACTAACTCAGAAAATACGTACGATTGTTTGTTTATACATATATAAATATTGATTTAGACGGGTACCGGAAAGCTCATTAATTAAAAATTTCCTTTCGTTAGTGACGACGCTTCAGTACTGAGAATTTCACAAATTTCGCAGCTTATTAATTTTCAGTAAAAAGTGGTATCACATTTGTTAACAATTTATTCCCTCTCCCAACACTAGTCATGCGTAAACGAAAAGGCAAATAAATTCTTTATTCATTAATAACAATATCATATCACGAACTCGGCATATGAGTAAATCATACAATATTTGATCATACTTAAATTTGATATCAGAAGTAGGCAATTTATTATCATCATACGTTTTCACGGTGCAACCCCTTTTATACATACATACATATGTGTTATAACCATTGTGTTTGTCAACTGATGGTATGCTGTCGAATAGTCAAATATTTGAGTTTTGCGGTAGGTCACTACTCTAGTTGAGTACCAGTGCTATTTATTTGTCGTACGTTCTGGCTTTTATATGCAATATTTAGTATTGCTTATGTATTTAAATATATAATATATAGACACATAATTATGTAGTAAATGAATTAAATTATTTTTACTAGAACTTGTTTAGAAATACATTTTTATCTATAAATATAATAATAATAATAACTGATAATACTTAACGGCAAATAAATTCAAAACCAATTATTATTTTTTTCTACTCCAGGTATGGATTAATCAGGGCGACATCATTTTGGTCGGTCTCCGTGATTATCAGGATTCAAAAGCTGATGTCATCTTAAAATATACACCAGATGAAGCGAGAAATTTGAAAACATACGGTGAATTCCCTGAATCGGTACGCATCAACGACACAGTTACATTCGTCGAAGATGGTTTTGATGAAGACATCGAATTCGGTGATGAGATCAGTTCTGAGGATGATGCTGATTCTGTAGACAATATATGATTAACAAGAAATAAGCGCGAGTCTTCAAATCAAAAAGAAGAAGAATTAAGTAAAATGGAAGTTTGAAAAGTTTTCATTTCACATAAAAAAAAAATCAAGAAACAAACAGATTATATATTTAATTCACTCTTTAAATAGAAGTAATTAATTACAAAGCGATAACAATAAATATAAAAATTCAAAAAACCCAAGAAATAACACACAATTTTTTTTTTATTTATTTCTTTCAAATTAAACAGATTTTTATTTTTAAACTACACCATATAGTGTGATCTCGGAAAATGTTTTGCTGCAAACGATATTGTTCCTTATCTAACCTACTCTTAAGTGTTTCTCATAGAAGAGTTGGGAAAAATTACTGCAAAATTTTGTTTAAGTTGAGTGAAACACTTGAATTAAAGATTTGTTTGTTATACTCCTGCTACAGAGTATAATAGTTATTTTTAAATTATTTTTACTTTTGGAAAGATACTTTTTTTGGCTTTGTTGGTTTAATAAATATATAAAACTTTAAAACTTTTGGTTTATTGTTATTTTTGGGTTTTATATTAAGTATAACACCATACATAGCATACATAGTTCTTATGTACATACATAACACACACATACACTTGTGTACATATTTTAAAAACCAAAAGGAAAATTTTCTCCATTCCCCAATAAAGGTACACCAAATTATTTGCAATTACGATATCAGAAAGAAATAACCTACTATGCATATATTAAATTCGAAAAACAATTTGTTAGGATTAAAATAATATTAAATTAAATACAAACAATAATAAATAAATCGAAAAAGTAAACATACTTGTTTTTTCTTTTTTCAAATAATCACCAGAACTTTACCGTAAATTGCAAACACAATATTGCTGCCGATAGCGTTGTGTCCCATTCATTCTAACAATTGTTTGAAACGAAACTTTCACCCAACTCGAGAGAACGTCTATGTTGTTATTGTAGCGGAAAAAACCCTCGTGAAGTAATCCTCCCTGTCCGTTCGGGTTACTCTAGTTGTTTAGTTAAAAAAAAATTTAAACAGCATTCATACCTTGAAGAATCGCTTTGCCACTGCGTATATGTAATGTGCTTTAGAAGTAGTGCCTTGATATTTCTTTAATCAAAAACGAAAGCAAAACAAACGTTGCTTTAATAAATGCGTACTTTTTTTTTTTAATAATACTACCACGCATCGTTTACTTTGCTTAGCAATCACTTGATTTTTAATTCAGTTTTCGACTTTAAACCGAGCACATTTCCGTTTTTGTCGTTCACAAAATTTCAAATTTGTCCGCTGTGTTTTTTGTTATATATTATCAAAAATTCCTTTTTTCGAGCAATTAAACAATCAAAATTGAATCGCCTTCGGTTTTTGTGTAATCAAACAGAGACAAATCGTAACTCTGGACCCGACCATTCTATAGTTCTGCAGTTCTAAAAACTAATCCGAAACTTCATTCCGATGTGCGAGTAAGTAATAAACAATGGAATGAATAAAAATATTTATTTTTTGCTGACGTATTTTCATATTCATATTTTGTTTGTTATTTTATGCCTGAACTGCAGCCCGGCTGCCAACCAATGCCCGACCGGTAACGGTTGCGCTGGGGATGGGATCATGGCTTGCGATCAGTACTGCCCGCCCAAGTGCGATCCTTGTCAGGCACCGGTTGATTATACACCGTGTCCGCCAGGGGGCGACTGCAATTGCCGCTGCGACTGCGGCGATTATGCGGGCTGTTGCTATCAACAGCCGCCACGTACCCAACCCATCCGACCCATGTCGTGCATTATGCGCTCAACCGCGCCACTTGAAACGGATACAATATACAAACGTTCGTATTTCGCGAACTGTGGCGATTGTTATCGCGCGAAACCGATACGCCCATGTCCGAATATATTATCCAATACCGGTCGCATGGAATCGTGTACGGTGCAGAAGTTATCGTACTTGCCACCTTGTGGAGCCGGACGAGCGGCACCAATTCGACCACCAGACAATGGATTGCGATTTTGTGGCCCACTCTATGCGATGACTTCACAAAAACATGACTTTGTACCGAAGGGCTATAGTAAACGCACACCTATTCGTCCAGTAAACGGCATATGCAAGCCGTGTGACCCATTGGAGCGATGCACAATCAATAGATTATCATACATGCCGGTGGATGTATGCCGGAATCCACCACCCAAACCAATAGTTCAGACATATAACATACAACGACCCACCGGGCCCAGTGAGAAATGTACCGTACAGAAATTAAGTTACCTGCCGGTTTGTCCGTTGCCGAAGGAGCCGATGCCATGGGCAGAAAAAGTACGATGTGTACCGCCACGTTATGAAAATCTCTGCACGACGTATAATCTTAGCTACTTGCCAAATTGTTGTACGGCACGTACAGCTCCCGTGGTGCCATTGCACAGTATAAAAACTTTGGGTAGTGATCGCACCGACGGTTGTACAGTATACAAACTCAGCTATATGCCAGTGGATTCGCGCTGCTGTCGACCAGAACCGATACGTCCCATGCCGGGTATATGCATGCCAACGGGATCTCTGGAAAAATGCACTGTACACAAGGTGGGATGATGAAAATTTAGTTAAAGTTACATATCGTTGGTATATGCCTCTTTGAAAAATTTCTATTTCAGCTTTCATACCAGCCTAATTGTTGCGCAGCACGCACTCAGCCAATTCGACCCAAGGACAACTGCCTGAAATCGTGCGGTCCTCTCTACAATATGACGACACAAAAGCATGATTTCGTACCAAAACCCATTTGCCGTCGAGCACCCATACGACCACAATCACTCATTTGTCGCGCAACAGGCAGCATGGATCGCTGCACCATCAACAAACTCTCGTATATGCCTGTGAATGTGTGTGAATTTAGACGTCCAGAACCGATTAGGCCTCGACCGGGTGTGTGTCGCGCCGATGGCCCGGTCGAAAACTGTACGGTTTATAAGCTTAGTTATTTGCCAAATTGTCCACAACCTCGACAGGCCATGCCATGGGCGAATCAATCATCTTATTGCAAGCCAACGGCGCCGATCGAGAAATGTACAATTCAGAAGCTAAGCTATGGACCACCTGGTACATTTTCACGTTGCGGAGGTAAGTGTGCTTGTCGGATTTATTTTAGATGTATTTTAGATGCCGACGACCGACAATACCAACGAACTTTAGACCGTTATTACAACGATTATTATTATTTAATATATTTAATGCTATATTTAAAAATAAATGGCGCTTATTTAACTGTAGTTATGGAAACTGAAATTTCAGACAGTATTCTGTAACAGTAGAAGCTGTTAGATGATACAAACAAAGTAGATATTTAAAAATGTATTTCACTATTTTTAAATTCAATTTTGTATATGGTCAATTGCATCTAAAAGTATGCTATAAAAAATGTTTGAAAATCGTTGGAATATCAAACAATGAATATATTTTCTACCTCTATTGACAAAAGCCAAAATTATTTATTAAATTAGAATATAACTAATTCAAAAAGTCTTATTATCCATAGCGAAATTTTTCTTTTTCTCAGTTGATTATTTCCTCTTCATGGAACAGCAATATACATACATGCATTTTTAATTGACTTACACACATACATAAGTATAAAAAACTAAACTACAAATTTACTTTTTCAGGTTGTTGCAACACGAACTGTGGACCCTCCGCCCCTAAAGCAGGCATCTGCAATTGACACCAAGCCATTTCTATTTTGTTAAGATGTGCACTCAATTTATAGCTGTGTTTTATTTTCTCATATCGAATTTTGTTCTTCGTAACCGCATTAACTGTAACTTATCAAATGTAAAATTATTTAACATTTTGCCATTGCCACATTGATTGATTGTAGTAATCACTCGGTGCTACTTTTACTTGCTAAATCCATAATGATCGCTGTGTATAGATTCATATATATATACATATATATAGCAATAGCTAGTCGCACCTTCTCTTAACTATTCCTAACTAATAAATAGATACTACCACAAACACAAACAATAGAAAGTTCTCGAAATATTGTACATAAGCAACTCAAACATCATAAAAATAACTCGGACAAAGCGAAAAAATTTAAAAAATATCAATTTAATATAAACTACGACACACGCTTGTTAAAACGACGAAAGAAATATACATATAAACCATATTATTGTAATTGAAAATAGTTGCCATAATAATAAATGTTTCATAATTTTATATTTACCAAATTATAAGTATAATCTATAAAACAATTACAACACCTACATGTGTATATGTATATGTATGTACTTCAACGTTCCGTTATAGCTTAAAGCAAGTATTTTCTGCTTTTCATGTTATTTTAATGGCTAAGCGCCGCTTGGTAGCCTCACGCCGTTTCTTGTCGCGCTTTTTGCGCTCCTGCGTCGCCTCACGGAAAAGTTCGACGCCCTCGCGTTCTTCAATTCTGTGTTGCAGCAGCGCCAATGAATGCACATTCATGCCAATTGTATCACGCATTTCACTGACATCCCGCTGTAGTGCACGCACCAAACCGCTAAGCAACAGTTTCAAATTTTTCGCCGCACTTATCGGTTTCATATGCACTTTGAATAGGAAAATTGTTACTTTACATAACAATTCTATCTGATCGCTGTGACAGTCGATTAGGCGTGGCAGACGTCCAAGCAGCTCGCACACATTGGAAAACGGCAGCAGCAAGAGCGCTTCCTCCAAATCCGAAGCACGTATACGAGCTAAAGTAGTAAAAAGGAAATCGTCGGGATTTGTTACTTGCAGAGCGCGCATTAATGGATGCAGTTCCGGTTTGTCCTCTTCGTCTTCCACATCATATTGTTTGCAAATCTCTAGGCACTCCAATATTGATTCTGCAGCCTTTTCCGAGCCCACAGTTTTTCTTGAGGGCAACTTTAAACCAGGTAGCTGGGGCACTGCACTTTCTTCACCGGTGGCGAGTTGTTGATTTTCTAGCTCTTCGCGCTCCTCCTCTTGTACATCTTGTAAGACTATCGGCTCATCGGTGCGTTCAAATAGACGTAGAGTACGATCGGAACCGCTAGTCACAAGGTAACGACCATTCGGGCTTACTGCCAAGCTATATGCCTCACCAATATGTCCTATAATACAATAAAAGAATAATCATATTGCTGTCGAGTATATACATATCTTACCTGGCAGCGTAAGAATCTTTTCGAATGAATCGGCGTCCCATTGCTTTACTTTACCATCCTTGCCGCAACTGAACAACATATGCGTGTTGGGTATGAATTTCAGCGCCATTACTGAGTCGTCATGAGCAAACAGCGATCTGTGGCAGTCACCGAAGTCCAAACCCCAAATTTTTATATTACGATCAGCCGAGCCTGTGGCTATCAATGTTGAATCATAGCTGATATCTAGACAGAGCACTGGCAGTTTGTGGCCATACAACGACAAATAAAACTTAAAGGTGTCGAGGAAGAAAATCTTCACTGTTGCATCGAGTAAGCCCACCGCGAGATATTTCATATTCGGTGAGACACACACACATAATACCGTCTCCTCCAGCTTGAGCGTATTTCTATGTAAGAGCGAGAGTACTTTTGGGCGTGTTGTATCTACCTCATCACTACCATCTGTAGCCACAATATCAACTAACTCGAATGTCCAAATTTTAACCGTCGTGTCACTGCTACCAGTTACACAACCTTTCATATCGGGAAGCAGGGCGATAGACCATAATTCACTTTCGTGTGCTGGTATCTCTTCAATAATATCCGCTGCACCCACATCTGCTATTACCAATTTACCGCTTTTCATGCCCAATAAAGCATAACGATCGCCTGGCACGAAAGTGGTGCATAATATGTAGTCGGTGGCTATTGTACGTAAACATTGCATAGATTCGCGATTCCAAAACTTAAATGATTCGCCCGCACCCGAGCCAATTGCAAGAGAATCGTTACTGAAGCATACAGAACGCACTTCAGACTGATGCCCAACTCGCGTCAATGCACGTAACTGTTTCAAACTTTCTTCTGATACTTTGTGCTTTAGAGAAGCATTAAGCGCGTAGAGTTGTAGACTGTTATTAGCTAAACCGACAAGTACACGTAATTCGTTTTGTGCACCAAGTATAATGTCAATTGTTTTAATTTTCTGTTTTACTTTTATACTTTCCAAACGCTTTATTTCATCACTCAGGCTTAAACCTTTGGATAATGCATTTTCTCTATCTTTACCATCATGATCCATTGACTCTGTAGCCTTACGAGCCTTTTTTAAACGCTTCGAAAGTCGCTCCTTAGCTTCCTCTGCTGTGCAAAAGTAAAAATTCTCGATAAGGTCATTAGTACCATGGCAGCTAATAACACGCTCCGCTGGGTCGGTTACTAAATTTATACAACGTCCTTTCCCTGCGCGCTGTATTACACCACAGTTTGTTACTGTTAAAGGACTTATTGTATCTTCGTCATCTATACTTAAGCCCTCAACAGCACTTTCAATATTCTGATTTGGACCATTACGTCGACGAAGTCGATAAACATTCATCGTACTCTCACCGCAGCCAGCAACCATAATATCACCGATTAATGCCAAAGCCCAAACTTCAGTACGATTGTCAACAATTGTTTTGAAACAGAATTGTGTTTCTAAATTCCAGAATTTTATTTGTGTATCCTTTGAGCTGCTAATAACAATGTTTTGCTCTCCTAACCGTTGTAAGAAATGTGCATCTGTTATTGGCGCATTGTGTCCTATAAGTCGTTGCTGCCCGGCTTGTTCAACAATATCCACAACCACCAATTCAGTATCAAGACTGCCGCTTACCAAACGTATGCCCATATTATCAAAGCGCAGAACAGACACAGCACTTTTATGCAGAGCTAACGAGCATATAGATTGCTCTGGAGCACGCAAATCAAAAAGTTCCACAACACCATCAACGTAACCCACAGCAACATGTATGCGGTCGGGTGAAGCACGCAACGCCGTTACTTCCTGCTTGTCGCGGCGAAGTGTTAACGCACGTTCCCCCAATCTGTGAAAGTATGCACATCACAAATTTATATACAATTTTTAATACAATTCCCTTAATTCCTCACCTTAAGTCCCAAATAATTACATTTTCAGCAGCTGCAGCAAGTGCATATCGGCCCTCTGTTTTATTGTAGATAACAAAATTTACATTAGCCCGACCACTGTTGATAACATTGAAACTGTCTACTGGCCGATACGCCAAATACTGCTTCGTCAATCCCATAGGTAATCAATAAATATTTACTTCTTGTTTTTATTTAAAATAATTTTACAACAGTTAATTTTTAATTGGAATTAATATGCAGGACTTCAATATGTTGTTAAAATTGGTTGCACGTGTTGTGATCGGTTGCGTTTTCGTTTTGTTTTTATCGGCAAATGACATATCAGAGAACGTTTATTATACAGAGGAAAACAGGTGAAAAGCACCATTTTCGGTATACCGAATTGAGAGATTTTTGTGTCAAGATGTATCAGAGAACGTATATTTATAAATAAACGTAAACAAATATATATTTATAAATATACGTTCTCTGGTATACGCGCTGTATATTTTTAAGTATTTCAAATTTCATTAATATACATATATATTATTTTAATAAAATTATGTAGTTCAGTATTTTTCCGCAAACATATATAAATTCCTTTAGTTTAACGTTTTTGTATGTAACCGTAAACTTCAGTATAACTGAAACATACCACAGATATCATATGCCATACGAATCCATATATATGTGTGGTATTCGCAAAAATGAAGTGCACATGTGTGTATAGTAGCACTCCCTTTTCTCGTAACGCTAAATTGCATTTAACTTTTTACAGTTCTTCATGATGTGAAGGAAACTTCTTCAATATTGCATGATATAAATTGTAAAATGCGTACACTGAAACCGAAACGATAACCAATAGAGCGCCTCCAAACGCAACGCTTAGGAAATTGCCATCGATAATTCCTGTCGCAGTTTGTCGTTTAGTGCTCCATATTTGCTCTGTAGTGGCCGGATTCTGTTGTATTTGGGCAGTGCGTTCACTCATCAACCGCTTCATGTCGTTTAACCGTGCTCGCAACACTTCCACAGATTCGTTGTCTAAATCATCTGATTAAATTTAAGAAATTTTATGTGAAAACACAAATTAAACACATACAATTTAAAGATAAAATCAACCCCACCTCCAGTATCAGGTACGCTTTGGAAATGCGACATATTTCTTTCAATATATATCAATGAAAATCTTCTTATCTTATATAATTTTTTAAATCACTTTAAAAATTGTTAAATTTAATAATTGTTGAAGAATGCAAAATTATTGTTATAAGCCCTTTGATAGAATTTTTGTACGGTCTCTGATAAATCTGTAGATACAAGTTGATTACTTACGCCTAAGTGTATGCAACAGCATTCACTGCGCAGACAGCAGAGAACGTATAATATATACAGAGAACGTTTATCATGTGATATATACGTTCTCTGCAGCAAATCAATAAACTTTATTCTTCATTTTGCATTCACAATAAGCAAAATGTGACTGCCACAGCATTCACAGCGGATGTGCTAAAAATATTAAGGATGTAATACGCTCGCTGAGTTACATCTGTCATCATTGTTATATATTGAACATTGCGCCTCTAGCTTTGTGCACACTGAATAGAATACTGTGTTTTGGAGTTTATATACTATAGGCTATCCCTCAATGATGGGAATAAAGATGCCTCCAAAGTCTTTAGCATATGAATGTACAAATGAACAAACTGACTTAGAAGACGAGTGGTCTGATGTAACTCAGTAATAATTGCTTCCCGTTAAAAATACAAGTTAGACCGCTTTGTTGTTTACACTCAGAATGACATATGAACGAATAGGAGAATGTGTTACATTTAAAGGAGTTAAAAACGCATGCTTGGATTTTATATATCATTTGTAGAAATGTTCTTCTGCACCGCGACTCCGGTTGCTTGAACAGCTTGGATATCATAAAATGGTACTTTCACGCTGGTCTCCGTATTTAATCTTACTGTCAGCATTCCCGTAGTAAGATTTACATCAATATCAGTAATGACACGGAGTTTTTCCAACAACTGAGCACGATTACTAGCTTCTGGACGATCTGGCCTGTTGGTTGGTTGTTGTTTAAATCCTCACCACTATTTTTATATCTTATAAACTTCAATACGACTCAAACAATCATCACCATAAACTTTGTCAATTCTCAAGTTTAATGCGCAATTTTATATTTGCTCTTTGTAAAAATCCCACAATTGCACAGCTTTTCCTTTTTGAAATGGCTGTAACTTTAATATTGGCACCCGATTCATATGAAGTTAAGTACGCTTTAAAGGAAGATAACACAGTACAAGAGCTAATCTGGAGGGTGAGAAATTCCAAGTCAGGGTGATGTTACTAGGTCAGTATAGTAAAACCGACAAAGGGTTTGGCCTTCGTATGTGTCAGTTGCCAAAATGTTACAACTAAGCGAAAAAACATCAAGATAAGGAAAAAATTTAAAAGGTCATAAAAAAAAACTGACACATACGAACGCCAAATCCTTTGAGAGTTTTACTATTCTGACCTAGTACCATCACCCTGACTTGGAATTTCTCACCCCCCAGACAATAATCCCAAAAATGTTCCACAGTGTAATCAGTGTGATGCTTCATTTGAATGGTTCTTCTAATACTGAAGACCTTGTATGAGTGAAATGTTACTCCACCCTGTGAGTTGAGTTAATTAAGACCATTATTATTATTTATTGCACATTCCTGAGAATTATCGAACAAATCTGTATTTTTGTCGTTATAGTATTATGTATATTATTTGACTCGTTTATTTGTTTAAATATTGTATACGTAAAACTAACTAAGCACAATCGGTTTAGTTCGCTCTCAACACAATAAATACAAATATATACGTACTATATAAAATCGTAGCAAATGGTTATTGTTGCATATATATTTATTTTGTCGTATATTTTATTTATATGTGCTGTATTTTTTAATTTAATCGTACCTGCGTATACTCCAACTAATGAGATTACTTAATATAAATAATATATATATAGTATGTATACAACTTATATTTGCGCGTAACATTATAAGAAAATTATTAACAAAAAACTATCACTAAAATTAAACAGTTTAACAAGCGCCTATTGATTTAAAATTTTAATAATCTGTTGGTCTTAATATTTGTTTTTATGCACAATCACATTTACTTTTGCGACGATTTTCAAATTGAAAGATAATCTTACAATAAATGAATACATTTTGATAACTTTTCTTCGCAAGACCACATATCTATATGACCAACATCTGTAAACAATTATTTGTGTGTGTGTACTATTAATATTTTATAATTTTTTTAAGTATAAGTATAAATTATAGTTACGTTTGTGTGTGGAACAAATTCAATAGTTTCATTACTTAGGCTTAAGCGTGTGATGTGGACGATAATTATTTACATTTACTACGCCCTTAAATACTTGTATAAAAAGCTTTGATATCGATATCGGTTTTCGGTTCTTGCGTTGGAAAAAGGTTGCTTGATATGACAATCAGTGTGACGCTTGATTTAAATATTGTTACGGTCAATAACTAGAACCACTGTAGTGCATTAGTTAAACACTACATCACTTAAAGTTCATACACCTACATGCGTATCGCACATTCAGTTTCTTTTACTCTTATAAATGTAAACTGCTATCTAAAGAAAGTATTTATATGTTGCGGTCTTCACATTCAAAAATTTCTGAGTTATATTCAATTCCAAGTAGCAAGCATTCTAACTTTACTCCATCCTCAAGACTTTCGAGACACAACTTTCTACTTCCACAAGTACATTATTTTATACATAAACTACGGGCACTACAATTCGTTAGATGGATACATGCTGTGGAAAAGGTATTTCAAATATTTAACTTTTTTACGTGCGTAATATTTCGGGCATTTTACAGTTATCATCATGTAAATATGTATGCAATATTTGGGTAGTATTGTATAGAAAAACATTTCAAACTTCTTGCTTATGCCATCGGTATGTTGTCGGGTAAATACTCAATGAAATTCGCTGGAAATTGTCCTTGTCGGCCATCTACTTCACCATAAAGCCAGTCTTCATTAATTTTGTAAAGGATGGTCACAATTTCATTTTCCTGCAAATGGTAGAAAATGTGATTTTCAAATAAATGATGTACAAACAATGCTAGAGTAAAGTTAGAAATAACGCAGTGAAAAAACCTATATATAACTATATATATATTTGTAATAACAATAAACTGTTAGACTTACCGTCAAAGCCAAATCGCCGTCATACTCGGCTGGGAAATTGTAGAGGCATCGTAGACGTAACGGCTTGGTTTTGGCATTTTCCTCCCCTAAAGGGACTTTTACATCGATATAATTTATTGGAAAAATACCTTCACAGCCAGAGCGCGTGCGACCACGATACCATTCAGCGCTCACCTGTTCCAAGATATAGATTTTCTCGTTCTCCTGCAGATTCATAAACGAAATAATGTTAATAAAAACTTGAAAATGTGAGATCAAAAGACTTCATACACACCCGAAAACTGAGATCACCCTCTTCGACACCATCAAAGGCATAGAGCGCAACGCCATGTGGCCTACTTTCCTCTGCAGCAGCGCCAAGACCCAAGTCACCGTTAAGGGCACCATTCAATTGCAATGCATCCGCTTTGCCTGATATGACGTCCAGCAATGAAACACCGTTTGGTGGCGGTGGTGGCGCACATATCGGCATTGGAGGCGATGGTGGTGTTAATGATGCATTATTACCATGTGTGAATTGCGATTGCTGCAACATCGGCGGTTTAGGAGCACGTGGTTTTTGGGATACTTTTGGTTTGATAATAGTTGGTACACTAAGTGTGGGCGTCGGTGGTAGGAGACTTTTTCCATTACAGAGCGGGTTGTCGTTACTTGATTGAATGCGCGAATTGATGGTGTTAAGATTGCGTACCGGTGCAGTACCGATGCTATTCGTTGCTGCTGTACTACCATATATACTGTCGACTGCCGTATTGAAGCCGCTATCAAAAGCCTCCCAAGGATCGAGCGGACTGGTAGTAGCTGGACGACTGCGTGCACTAAAGTCATCCTCGAAGCCGCTTTCCGGTTGGGAGACACTACCATTATTCGGCGAACTGAAATTCGAATCTGAACTGAAACTATCTACGCTGAGGCAATCACTATTTGACTTCTGTGTGAATGTTGGCGAACTTGGTGGTGAATCGAAACTGATCAGCTGTGCTTCGATTGTGTTCGGCACACCTGTGCCACCTGGATTTACAGCACCCAGAGATGTAAGTGATGTGGACGAGTAACTGCTGTTCCAATTAGCCTGCCAACTTTGACTGTTGTTGAAATTATTTGTTGAATTGCTTGTGGTGCCCCACGTTGTTGTGCTACTGTTGTTTGTTGTTGACACGGATGTGTTGTTAATGGCATAAACTCCGCTGCTGACACCATATATCTTATTTGCTTTATTATTATTGTTGCTAATACTATTACTGCTTTTCTTGCTCTTGAAAATGTTGCTCAGCAACTTTGTTGAATGCGTGGATGGTGGTTGAGGCGCTCTACGACCATTTACTTGCACTTTCGGTGGTGGAGGCCGTGGTGGTGGTACCTTTTTGACATTGCCGTTTGTATTAGCAGCAGCTGCTGCATTGGCACCGAAAGGATCATCCTCCCAATTTGTGGTGGGCGTGTAGCGTGCTTGTGGAAACTTTCGTGTTATCGCCGACTGATTACTGTCCATATTAAAACAGTTATAGTTGTTGTTGCTACTGATACTGTTATTGCGATTAACCATGGGCGTTGCAGTCGAACCTTTCGGTGGTGGTGGTAGACTTATGGTCAATTTCTGTACGCCACGATTCTGTTGCTGATGTATCTGTTGTTGTTGTAATTGTATACGTAGTTGTTCGATACTTGCATTAGCACCGGCGGCAGCATTTTGACCGCGCGCCACTGGTGGTGCAGGCGCAGGACGCGATGGAATCGTCATTTTTATACGAATTCTTATATATCAAACAAAATCAGGAAGTGATTTTGCAAACTTCTGGAAAAACAAGTGTTAATTAATATTGGTTTCAAATATGTAGTAAATACACTTAGTCACTCTAACTCAGTCACTGTAGACACTGCACTCACTTTGTGTTAACTTTAATAAATACAATATAAGAAATGCCACAGGACAATACAAAAATACTGATAATTTTTTTCTGTCGGGCGACACAATCAAAATAAAAACCAATTCTCAGTAATGGTCTTATGAAATTAAAAAAGGAGTAAATAATAAATATTTTGCAGCGCTCTGAGAAATTTGTGTTCACTTTGAAATTGTTGTCGTTGAACTGTTTATGCATCGCAAAAATTCGCCCATTT